GATATTGCTTCTTTGTCTGATCTTATAAAAATTTATCGTCCTCTTTGTTGGGGTAACTTTTTTCATATTCAATGTATTTGCCACTTCCTTAATATTTGTGTCCAATTGGGTCTTAGTGGTTCGGAAGAGTCGGTTGTGCCCATACGAGGTCGTTATATATTTGCACCATCGGTCTACGGAACATAAAAGATGGGAAAAAATTTGTAGAAGTTTAGGATTTATTTCCAAAAAAATTTACATCGAACTTTGTTGAATTCAACTTGTAAATTTTATAAAAAAAAGAAAGGCACTGGAGTTTAGCTTTCTTTTAGTTGATTTTTTCACTAATCATGAGCATCAATGTGAGCATTGTTCTAAAAATCGGCCTACGCGGCGCCCGGGCACCTCCGATTTGCACAAATCGACAGAAAAAATCGGTCAAGCGACTAGGCGGCGCCTAGGGTCCTCTAGGTGCTCCTAGGCGGACTTGGCGGACTCGGCGGCCAGGCGGTTAGGCAACGCCTAGGCGGGCATAGGCAGACCTAGGTGCTCCTAGGCAGACTCGGCGGTAATTTTTATTTTTTTTGTAATTTTTTTTAAATACTAATTATTTTATTTTATTTTTATATTTTCTTTAAAATATATTAATTTTATTATAAATTGAGATAGTTTTATTTTATAGGTAGTTAAAATAATTATAAAAATAAGGTATTTAATATTAATTTTTAAGCCCCGACTAAACGCCGCCTAGGCCCCGCCTAGGCACTCTAGGCGCTAGGCGCTGGTCGAGCGCCTAGCAGGCGCCTAGTGGCTTTTAGGACACTGAATGTGAGAGCAACATCACTCTTCATAAAAACTATTAGGCTAAATGTTAAACTCTTTTGAACGTTTTGGAACAATTTTAAAATGCTACCGACGTTCTTTATGGTGTTTACTATCCTTCACATCAACTTGTCAATGTTAAATGTGTGGTTGTTATGTGGAGATATAGAGATTTATTTGTTAGTGTAATGAAAAAAATTGTGCCAGTGTAAATGATATGTTACAAAAATGATTAGAATATTATTTTTACATTTCCAATAAAATTAATTCTGAATTAGTTAGATTCGTTTACACGTGAGAGTGGATTTCTCAACCAAGTCCACACTTATTATGTTATTATGCATCAACTTCACTTCATGTACATGTTATTCCCATCAGCGCACATCATCACCCACGATTGTTCCTCAAGCAAGCAAATTCTTTGTTCGATGACTTATTTAAGGAACAACAATGGGGCTCGGGAAAATCCAACTTCTTCTTCTTCTTCTTCTCTTCCCAATTTTCTCAACAAATGGCCGGGTATGGCGAAGGCTTCCGAGCTTGTGTAACTCATTCAATGTCTAAAGATGTCAATAACTCAACGAGGCGGAACGAGAAGGACGGGAACTGGATATGATTAACTCGACCACTATTTGACTGAAGAGCTCAGACTTAAGGTGGCCAGACCACCTATCCTGCCACTCCAATTTGATGACTTGACATTGATGGTAAAAATGAAGACCTTGTATTCTGTTTCATGTTTGATTGTCAGAGAGATCCATGTTGTCCTAACCTCAACCTGACGGTTCAACAAACATTTAGCGATGGAGGATTCACTCTCGACGAATGGTGATCAAGATTAACACTACAAAACTTAGAGGCACAAATCTTGTTGAGCGATAAAAAGAATGCCCAAAGAAAGCACAAAATGGTCATACGAAATGAAGAGGGTGATGATATAAGTCGGATGTTTTCACTACTAGTAGAATCGCCCAAATTGAATATGAAATATATTGATGAGTATTGAGGACCACCTCTTCCGAGGCATCAAAGCCCAAATTGAAATGAAATATGATGATTGAGAGTAATGAGGACCACCTCTTCCGATGCATCAAGATTCAAGTGGTTTCTCAACAGAATGCCGACAAACATTAGCAACCATGTTACCCCTTCCGAGAAAAATTCCATACTGTCACTCTGAGCTAAGGCCCCACCTCACTTTACATATCTGTCTACACAATTCTTCACTTCAATCAATTATTATTATGTAAAAAAGCAACCATAGACATCCACATATGAAAAAAAATAAATAAATGAAGCAAATCAAACGAAGTCACGAATACACACCTCTTTTTTATTATTATTAATTAATATAATTCACACTTCATTTCATCATTTCTCATATTCTTTTGTTTCATTATATTTTAGTATTATTTTATAGTGTTTAAATGGTTTCCCTCCTCCGAAGATGCCTCCTCAGAATACAGACCTCCAATTTTCCATCTCAAGGTTATATAGTTTTTCTTTTTTTTTT